ATATATATGTGTGTGTGTGTGTGTGTGTGTAGGGTTTCTGGGGTCTGGACCTGCATGTTGTGTTTTTCCTTCTTGTTTACCAGTCCCTCCTCAGCTTTTCTCCTCCTGTGTTCCAGCACTGTCGCACCTGTGTCTGATTCTAATCACCGCAGGTGCCTTTCATTTCTCCTTGTTAGTGTCTGTCTACATTCAGCCCCTTGGTGTCTTGTTAGTGTCTCTGGATTGTCCTTGTCTTAAGGCTTCATGACCTGTCTCCCATCATGATCTGTCTCCCTTCATGACCTGTCTCCCTTCATGACCTGTCTCCCTTCATGTCCTCGTCTAATTTTGCTACCCCATCAGCATTTTGGTTTGTTTATTTAATTAATAAACAGTTTTTACTTATTTACTGGAGCCTCATTCCCTTCCTGCATGTGGGTTTGAGCATGCTACAGTCAGATCATGATTATATATATATAAATTATATTATATTATATTATATTATATTATGATTGGATATTGACATATCCAGGCCTTACATTTCTCCAGTCTTTGACTCTAAGTTATGGACCAATATTGAATGCATAAAAAGCTCTTCATGCAAAAATCATGAACACAATCAAACTAAAAAATAACCTGTGGGTTAACAGCCTGCACCAGGTGTAAGGTGTCACAGAGCTGCAGGCTCTGACCAGGAGGAGCTTAAGGTTTGTTGTAGTCACTCGAGGGGTGGCAGGTAAAATCTGCATTTCGTTTTAAGTCAAGTACAGTAAAAGCTCTGAAGACCTTAAATTTTATTGTGCAGCGTGTGTCCAGTCATTATCAAACATTATGAGGACATCTTGTGCAAACATCTCAGACACAAACTCCAGATTCCTAAATCCAGATTAGGAGTTTGCTCTTATTTGAGGAGCATCTTACTTGCTGATTACATCATGTTGTGAACTTCCATCGTCACCGCACAGAAAACATACAGAGACGACAACAGCCAAGTTTGTGTTTCGTTCAGCGTGGATCAAACAGAGATGTGTTCATTTTTTACACTAAAAGCAGTCATTCAGTCCAGAGTACGGGTGTCCAAAGTGCGTCCCGAGGGCTATTTGCGGCCCTTGGAGTGATTTTGTGCGGACCACAATTGCAGTTTAAGAATGGTATCATTTTATCCAGCAGGTTTAAAAGGTCGATGCAGACTTTCTGCAAGTTCATTGGTAATCTTTTTTTTATTTAATGTTTAGTTTTAACAGCAAAATGAATGAAAAACAGTCAAAAGGAGGCCAAAAATTAAAACCCTTTTCAAACTAAGTGCCAGTTTCAGAATCCATTAAGTCAAGTTAGATACTCAACAACTTTTCTTGGTTGCAGGTTCCTCAACAAGAGTTTGACTGGTCTCATTTATGTTCTCTGTTGCACTTTTGACATCATAATCAAAGATTAGTGAAAACAATTAAAGTGATAAAAGTATTTTACCTTCAATATTTCATCTTGGGGGTCCAGATAAGATGTCAACGATGGCCAGGTCTTGAGTATGACACATGTTTGACTCATTTGACTGCAGACAAATCTGATGTTTCACTCAGTGAGCAGTTTGCTGCAGAACTCGGAGCAGGAGCTCCCCTGCCTTCACCTCAGGCTGTGAAGTGTCACGCCTTGGACTCCTGGAAGGTGAGACGGAGGACACAGAGAACAGATGGTGGGCCGATGCAGCAGAGGACTGTTGTTTGTTGTTCTCGCCTGCTCTTATATTAATTTATAAAACACCCATCATGTCATTCTTGTTTGACGGCTGTTGCTGAGCAGAAATGTCAGGTAATCCTTTCAAATGTTGTGACGCTCGTTTCGACAGCCAGTAAAGAAAAGTTGTAAATCATTTGGGATATAAACCAAACCTTTGTCACAGATCTCTTAAAAAAGATGACAGAACCTTGAGTAGATTACTGAACAATCAGGAAATGTTCCCTGGGTGTTACAGGAGCTCTTCGTGTTGGTCGTTCACAAACACACTTTTTCCAGTTTAACCGTTTTTATTGTTCACTGTTGAAAGGTAAAGATGGACAAGTCTGCTTTTCACCGAAGCGCCTCGTGATCCACGGGGCAGCTTTTATGAAACATGCAGAAAATAATCTTTGGGTGTTTCTAAAGGTGCAACAAGCTGGCTGTAACTGGGTGATCCCCAGTACTCTGAGTGCTAACACATGGATATTTGTTTGTTTTTTTTTGCAGTTTTTGGAGTCAACTCTGTCTGTTAGCAAAATATATCAGGAAGCACGCAGGACGAATTCTAATGAATCGTTTTAAAAACTGCACATTTGATCTTCATCTGTAAGTGATGAACTTTTGGAGTCAGTGTAGTTAAAGATGGCCGCCACAGCTTACTGAGCTTTCAAAACACATGAAAAGTTATAATTACGTCACATGTGCAGATGTTGCACTATAATTTGATTTAGTTGTAACTGAGAGTCATTCACTACTCATACGTCAAGTGCTGCAATGCACAAGATCTTTAATTCTAACGTCAGCATTAACTGTTAAGTCAGTGGCTCTGTTAGCAAAATATAATGACCCACTGGACAGATCGGAGCGAAACTCTCAGAAAGTAGTTAACAGATGCACTTCTACAGCTGATTAACCTTTAGAATCAGTGATTCAAAATGTTTGCCCCAGATCTTCAACATTAGGACACAAACAGGACAATAACACAGAGGTAAGTATCGGTGTGGTAGTAGCTGAGAGTCATTCACACGAGGGTTCGATGCTTCTTCTTGTATTTCCTGATGAATGAAGCTCAAGCAGAGCTTTTAGAGTCTCCTGGGGGACTGGATGAAGTTTGGCCTCGGGGGTTCCACGTGCTCCACGTCCTAAAGCTTCAAAATCAGACCAAAAAACATCAATAAAAAGAAAATCACCACATTCAGCTGCAAAATACAAATGTTCAGTTTTACAAATGACATCTCCCGCTTCTTTTTTGCTTGTTTTTAAAGTTTTAAATCCCGAGATAACAAATGTAAAACAGACATTCATATTTAGTGATAATGCAAATAAACAATTAACTTGTGTCCGATGACGGGCTGAAGAGCTGTGGGTCCGTGGAATAAGACTAAAGGCATTTTTTTGTGGACTTTTTCATCATAAATTTAAATTTTTCAAAAATACTTTTTTTTTTTTCAGTCCACACCGAGAAATTGAGGCGCGCAAAAATAGATTAAGCCGACACTGACAAACATTAGAATAAATACTGATTTAAATATTTACAGTTTGGGCCTTTTTTATTTTTATTGTTTTGTTTGTCTGAAAGTGAACGAAAAGTCCGAGACGTTTCAGCTTCAAACACCAACTGATTCAGTCCTGAATCAACATCCCGTCATTTCAAATGTTTAATAATAATAATAATAATAATAATAATAATAATAATAATAATAATAATAATAATAATAAACAGAGAGGGGAGAGAAGGAGGTCATTCCTCTTTTCTGCTATAACATGTTTCATTATTAAATGCAAACAATTGGACGCAGGTGAGTAAAAGACAGAGCGCACATCTGAAAAGTGGAGATTTCACCTAAATAAATTAGTTTATTAATACAGCTTGAATTTTAGCTAACATGTTTATGACACGTTCGGGGTCTGAGCAGATTTGATCAATATGTATTTTCAAAAATTCAGGTTGCTTTAATTTGTTTAGGCTGTTTTTTTTTTGTTTTTTTTGTAGACATAACAATAAGTCCGCGTTTACTTAATTTTATTATTATTTGTTAGTTTATGACCCAGTTGAGCTGTTTCGTTTACAGCGTTGTGTGCAGTTTACTGTCAATGGGAAAGATTAAGTTATGCCATGTAGTATTATCAGGATTAATCTGCAGGCCTGACGTACCACACCGGCCGCGGCCCAGCTGAAGTGCGCATGCGTCAGTGTGAGGGGAAGGTGGAGGGGGTCCATAAGTCTTCAGACACCAGAGGAAACTGAGCATTAGAGCTGAAGGCTAACTATCTGCACACTGGAGCCAAGTGGGAGGAAAAGGTCCAGAATAAATACTGAGGTACTCTGATTCAAGTTTATTTGACAAAAATGACACAGATTAATCTCTGATTGTTACACAATAAATAAATTGGCTTCTTTTTCAAATTAGCAGAAAAAAAATATTTCGATATTTCATGGAAACACCCACAACGAATTTCGTGTTTGAAACTAGATTATTATTCAAATAAGCAAAAAATATAATCCACAATGTTCAATATGGTTAATCAGGTCAAATGGACAGTTTCTTGCCTTTCCACAAAAAAAAAAAGAAACTGTCCAGATGACCTGATTGACCATTACTGGATTTTGTACCTGGATGATTGAACATTGAACTTTGATGAAATCCACAATGTTCTTTTTTTTTTTTTTTTTTACTGTTGTGCTCCAAATGAACTGCATCGATGAATAGAAACACCCAGCTCGTGTGCTCCATCTAGTGGTATACATTTTTATTACAAGTATAACAAAACATGCTTGTTGCACACAATCCACTTGTTCATTCATTCAACCTTTATTTATACAGGCTATCCTCATTGCAAAGTCCATTGTAGTCCATTACACAAGGAAGAGTCTACTTTATATTAAAAGTTCACTAAATGTCACTCATATAATGTCATGTTGTCATTTCATGTTGCTGTGTTCATGCGTGCTCATCTGCTCACAGACTCATGTTCGTGCTGCTGTTCGACATAATGTTTTCATGCTATTAGTGCTTAGTGTATTATTTAGTTAAATGTTCTTCTTATATCTTATTACTGTTTTTCTTTTACATGTTATTGTGGGATGTAACTGGGACCCTGTGTACATAATCTCGTTCCATCTACGTGTACCACATGAGATGCGAATGACAAATCAATCTCTCTGACTCTCTCTCTCTCTCTAACTCTAACTCTGATCAGCCCAGGTGTTATATTTCAAAATAAAGTACATTTAAAAGTCTGATTTACATATTTATTCTTTACATTACAAATAAAATAATCCTTGTGGCGACTTTTATTTCACAATAACAAAGAACTTCCAAATGTTTCAAAATATCAGCCAGGTCTAGTGTTCAGTTTCCCAAGGCTTGGACAAATAAAAAATATTGCATTCATTTCACTCCAGTTTTAAAGTTGAAATTAAACAAGACAAAATAAATCTTGAGATTAATCAGTTTTTGGCAGCTCATCAGGTCATGAAACTTGTGAAAGTCTGCTTTTAGTTTGAAAACTGCTCATGAAACTATTGTAATACCAAGTGTTTCTTCACACAACAAAATGTTCTGCACTAATACACTCAGATAACTGAACAGACAACGAACAATCAATAATCACAAGAACTTGTTGATCAAATTTGTTGCCTTGTCCAGGTTTTCAAAACTGTGCAACTTCTGCAGCAAGACTGAGAAGGAAGTGTCATGTGAGACAAACACTTATCTTAAATAAACCAGACTCGTACAAATTCATTTTAAAACAATGCAAAAGGACTATATTCCATTTGATTCAGATATGTAATGCCTACATATGACCACTAGATGTCAGGCTTGTCACACAATAACACAAAAGTCGAATACATGGAGTGATGAATTTATTTATAGAGGAAAACCTGTGGAATGATTGTTTCTAATATTGTTCTGCCACCATGCAGATAATAATGATGATGGTGATGGGGGGGAGGGGGGATACAACTTTTTTATTGGCAACATAATATAGAAAATACACTGAATATTAAAAACTTTTTTTTAAAAGTGTAAGCAGGGCCTGTTTAGCATCTCTTCTTTTAACACCAGTCTGTAAATATGCAAGAAGTAAAACTAGTTGCTGAACCTCAGGGGGACGAATTCTGACCCATTCAAGTCTGGTTCTCCTTGGTCTGTATCAGGTGTTTTCATGTTTTGTGGTGAGAAGTCTGAACTGCAGGCAGGTCTGTTAAGCACCCAGACTCCTGACATGAGGCCATGTTGATGTGTCTGCAAATTATCACTGGTTTAATAAAGTTTTCCAAAACAACACTTTTAAATGTAGGCTTTTCAGCACCTTACTTCTTGGCTGTGTTTATGGAGCATGCTCAGTGTGTTTGCATATTATTAATAATCATGACTTTGTATTGGTGGATTTAAGCAATGCATGATTGTTAATAATATGGGGTTTCTCAATATATAGTACTAAAAGCTGATTCTCCAAAGTGCTTTGTTCACACCATGTATCTGCTATTAATTTAACTAACATTTTCAAGATGTTTATTTCAACCATTTAGCTTTTCAGTCACGTTAGCAGTGTTTCAGCTTTTTGAGACTCTTTAATGCAAACTCATTTTGTTAAGGGGTCAAGGGTCATAGTCAGCTGTTGGTTCCAGGCAAAGCTGTCAACAATTGTAAACTCAACACGAAGCGTCCACTTGATCCACTTAGTGATGCATTTTCACTAAAGGTGGAATAATTTCATACAAACGGGCAAACTCTGTGTGACAAAACAAGACGCGTTTTGAGCTGAATGGTGGTTTTTACAATATTCATTCAAAAAAATGTTGGAATGCGGCCAAATGTTTTTTTTTTTTTTTTTTTTTTTTTGGTCAACAAGGTAAAAGATCTAATCAGATCAAATCAGCAGCCAAAGAAAAGCAGAGCCGGTGGAGAGGAAGAGTGTGGAGAGTCCTCCCTCCCTTCCGCGATACCCCCCCCCCCCCCCCACCCACCCAGCAAGACTCACTCCTGCTCAACGCGCAGCTCTCCTCCAGTCTTGCGCAGATGGCCGAAGTGTCCAAACCCGCGCGTGAATCTGCACAGGAGTGACAGAATGGGAGCTGAGTAACCCCTAAACCTCCTCTTTGTTTTATTTAGTCAGAGTCAAACTCCCTCAGAGCGCCCCCCCCCCCCCCTCCTCCTCCCCCCTTTAGAGCGCCCGGCTTCATGTGGATGAGGCGCACTCCACGCTCCTCGCGCTGGAGACGCGCGGTGTCAACAGTCACACCGACGAGAGCGGCGGCTCCGGGCTCTGGGTGAAGACCCCCACCCGCAGCGGTGCTGGTGGGAGCCGGGTTCAGGACTACCCGCTGAAGGATGTGGAGTGTGGACGGAGGGCGATGAATAACAACGCGGTGCGCGTCGGGGACGGTCTCGTGTCCTCAGGCGCGGACCGGAACCACAACGGCGCGCGGCTCAGCCTGCTGGGGAAGCCGCTGACCTACAGCTCTCAGAGCGGCCGCAGGAACGCGCGCTACCGCAAGCTCCAGAATTACCTCTACAACGTGCTGGAAAGACCCAGAGAGTGGGCTTTTGTCTACCACGCCTTTGTGTGAGTACAGAGGCTCAGAGCCATGGTGTCTGCTGGTTTCAAACTGGTTTCCAACTTTGCAAAGCGGAGGCGCAACTTTGTATCTCTGGTTCCACCTGATAGGTTGGATCAGTGATGCTGCAGAATACTGAAAGTCTGTCTTTAACTAAAAATGTATTTTTTTTCTTTTCCCTGCATTTGATCTTTTCTTCTCTAAGCTGGAATCATTATTTCAGTGTGAGTTTTACACGTTGTCATGTTTTTTTTTTAAAGCACTCCAAACACAACAATGTGAGAGAATTCAAATACAGATGTGTTTGCTGGTGAACATGACTATAGGCATACAGGTGCTCCTCATAAAATTAGAATATCATGAAAAAGTTGATTTATTTCAGTAATTCTATTCAAAAAGTGAAACTTGTATATTATATTCATTTATTACACAGAGACTGATATATTTCAAATGTTTATTTCTTTTAATGTTGATGATTATAACTGACAACTAATGAAAACCACAAATTCCATTACCTCAGACAATTAGAATATTACTTAAGATCAATTAAAAAAAGGATTTTTAGAAATGTTGACCAACTGAAAAGTATGAGCATGTACAGCATTCAATAGTTAGTTGGGGCTCCTTTTGCCTGGATTACTGCAGCAATGCCCAGGTTGCTCTGATAGTGGCCTTCAGCTCTTCTGGATTGTTGGGTGTATCACATCTTCCTCTTCACAATACCCCATACAATTTCTATGGGGTTAAGGTCAGGCGAGTTTGCTGGCCAGTTAAGGATACCATGGTCTTTAAACCAGGTGCTACATGTGTGCAGGTGCCAAGTCCTGTTGGAAAATGAAATCTTCATCTCCATAAAGTTGATCAGCAGCAGGAAGCTTGAAGTGCTCTAAAACATCCATGGTAGACTGTTGTGTTGACCTTGGACCTCAGTGGACCAACACCAACAGATGACATGGCCCCACAAACTATCACTGACTGTGGAAACTTGACATTGGATCTTAAGCAACATGGATTCTGTGACTCTCCTCACTTCCTTCAGACTCTGGGACCTTGATTTCCAAAGGAAATGCAGCATATACTTTTATCAAAGAACATAACTTTGGACCACTCAGCAGCAGACCAGTCCTCTTTTTCTTTAGCCCAGACAAGACATTTCTGATGCTGTCTCTTGTTCAAGAGTGGCTTGACGCAAGGAATGCGACGGCTGAAACCCTTGTCTTGCATACGTCTGTGCGTGATGGTTCTTGAAGTACTGACTCCAGCTGCAGTCCACTCTTTGTGAATCTCCCCCACATTTTGGAATGAGTTTTGTTTCACAATCCTCTCCTGGGTGCAGTTATCCGTATTGCTTGTACACTTTTTTTCTACAACATCTTTTCCTTCCCTTCACCTCTATTAATGTGCTTGGACACAGAGCTCTGTGAACAGCCAGCCTATTTAGCAATGACCTTTTGTGTCTTGCCCTTCTTGTGCAAGGTGTCAATGGTCGTCTTTTGGACAACTGTCAAGTCAGCAGTTTTCGCCATGATTGTGTAGCCTACAGAACTAGACTGAGACCATTTAAAGGTCTTTGCAAGTGTTTTGAGTTAATTAGTTGATCAGACTGTGTCACCAAGAGTCTTCAATATTGAACTTTTTCATAATATTCTAGTTTTCTGTGATACAAATTTAGGGGTTTTCATTAGTTGTCAGTTATAATCATCAACATTAAAAGAAATAAACATTTGAAATACATCAGTCTGTGTGTAATGAATTAATATAATATACAAGTTTCACTTTTTTAATGGAATTACTGAAATAAATCAACGTTTTCATGATATTCTAATTTTATGACCAGCACCTCGTCATCAACAAACACATCTGCATCTGTTAATTGTTATTGAACAACCTGTTAGAAGTCTACTTCTAACAGGCCCACATGAATTTAACACATAAGTGCTGCTTCCTTGCATGATTTTAGGTAATTGATGTTGTTTTTCATGTAGAGGAAACATCTATAAAGCCCGTATTCAAACCAGCTGTGCGCTGACCACAAGGGTTGTTTTGTCTCAAGTGAAAACATTTTGATTATTATTGTTTTAAGGGAAAATTTGCAGATTAAATCAGATGAGTTGTTCTGTTTTTTGTCTATCAAGCCTTAAACGATTTGCTGTTGTCTTCTTTAAGGGATGTAGGAACGTTGCACAGTGCAAAACATCATCTTAGAGAGGTGTGTTCTCTGTTTCTGCAGTTTTTCTCTGGGTTACTGTGCTCAGCTGTCAGTCCAACAGGTAGTGCTTGTGAGGTGATGGTGGCGCTCTTTACTCTGCCATGTTGATTTTTGTGTTATCTCTGTGAGCCATGAGCATGGCTGTTAATATTCCAGAGGAAATAAATTGTTACTTTTTTTACATTTACTTTATTCACATGAAGACATGGCAAATATTAATCAGACAGCTGGCTCAGCTGAATGAACAACTTTTTCTTTTTCTATCCGTTCTGTGCACGCAGCAAACTTTACGTTAAGATTAACCCCTTTAGCTGCATGATTTTACAGAAACCTCACATCCTTTTCCATTCTGAACGATTCCTGTCAGGAGGAGGAGAGCTCTGTGAGAAGGAAGTGGAGTTGTCAGCCCTGAGGCCGTGAAGCCGGATGCTGACGTTTTATTTGCTCCTGCAGGACAGCTGAGGTCGCCAGGGTTAAGTCGTCACATCTGCTCCGGACCGCAGCCTCCCACACTGTGAAGTTTGGATGAGCTGCGTGTTTTAAACAAATCAAACCATTTGTTTAAGAGGAACAAAGTGAGAAAGTCAGGAAGATAATCTCTCTCACGCTTCGATACACAGTCAAACCAAAAGCACACATGTATTCATTGAGGAAAGAAATTGACAAAGCAACACAACTTCAGTAATGATTTGAATATGTTGCTTAACAAGACAAAAGGCGGGAACAGTCCTGCTGAAGGAAACCTTGGTTTGAAACATAAGCGCTTGTTTGTTGCAGACATCTTGGGGACTTCAACTCTGTTATTCAGACATAATGAAGACCTATTTTTATAAAAGGAGAAGCTGATGACAGAAAAGTTGCTCTTGTGCTGCATACTCGTTGCTCTTATGTTCCTGTTTAGAATGTGTAAAAAATTACACTCAGAATTGTGCAAAATAGCCTTAGTGATTGTTGTCATGTCATGCACTATATTGGTTATAATTCAGGTTCTGGAAAGATATATTTATGTATTTTACTTTAACTTAAAACCAAGGGGAGCTGGATAAACTCTTCCCAGAACCATGCCAATGTTTGTTCATGATAAAAGAGGTGCCAACAGAAACTGAGCAACACAATATCCATGTTGTGATATAGAAAATATAAAGTTATCTTTTTGCAACATCAACAAATCTTTTTCACTTTCAGCAAAAGGAAAAAAAAAACACTCACCTTTGACTTTTTTAATTGTAGCATTCCTTGAAGGATTGCACATCATCTGCTGCCATGCAGTTTGAAACAACAACATGTTTAAAGTATGCGTCAGCAATGACTCTCAGCTACTTCCACACAATATTATTGCTCTTCATCTTTAGCACTGACTGAGTTATAAACCTTTTTTGTGTTTGCTGATGTTGATTAATATGGCAGCCATCTTGAATCGGGTCACTCTAAAAGTTGATGAGTTGTGGATGTACGCTCAGTGCTTATTTTCTGAGGGTTTCGGAGCGTGCGATGTGTTGGACAGATTTATAATTCAGCCCTTTGAACGGGCTAAAATTTGTTAGTGAAAAATCTAGCAGCACATATCAGCTTAAGAAATCCATACATTGAGTGTCATTTATAATTTAGATATAAGTTAATGTCTGATAAATCATCAGATTCAACTCCATTTTGGTGTTTAATGCGTTTTTATTCTTTTTTTATTTTTATTCCTGCAGTAATTTTTACTGATATTAACCTTATAGAGTTCCAAATTTGTTCAATTTCTCTCAAATGTTTTTCTTGCTGACTTTTAATATCGCCAACAAAAATCCTGAAAAATGTTTAGCAACAGGCCTTTAAATAGAAATAGCATAATTTGACAGATTCAGCAGCATTTTCACTCAAAACTGAAACTGGTAGTAAAATGTGAATCTGTCCAGATAGTACATGAAAGCTTCTCTGCAATTAATGCACTATTTATTGTGACATAACATAAATGTATATGCAGAAACTTATTAATATGCTAACACATAATTTATTTATCCATAAAGCATAAAAATGAATGCACGCATAGTTACCTTAAGGACAGATTTGCAGCTGTAAGACTTTCTCATTAGCCTATGAACAATGAAGAGGTGCAGGGATTTGCCTGATCTCCTGCAAGATTTCCATTAACTCTGCACATCTAATTTAATTTGTTTTTACATATTATTTGTTAGATATATGTATTATATATTATTTACATATTAATAGTGCATCTCCTGTACCTCTTTGTACCTCTTAGATACATTCTTGCCCCCTCATAACAATCAGCCTGAAAAGGTTGAATACGTTCTCAAGGCTGTGCAGATAGGACATTTGTGCCACATAAGACATGTCATTCTGAATCTCCTTTCTGCAGTTTGTTTTAAAATGTATGTTTTTACACATTAAATTACGTGTATCTAGAAATCCATCCATCTTCCCCATGTTAGTTTGGGGTTATAAGAAGGTGGAGCCTTTCCCAGTTGAAAGAAAGAAGGAGGACACTCAGGACAAATGGGCAAATTAACCAGCAGTACGCTGATGTCCCCCATTGCTGAGAGATTCAAATAGTACATGTTTGTAGTATTCACTGTAAGTGTTTTTTCTGGGATGGAATTGAACAGGGAATGTAAGTAAACCTTAATGTTTTTGGTCCAAGACATTCAAGCGACACACTGAGATACAGTTGTCGTTGTTTTTTGTCTGAGGTGGCACAGAGTGACCAATTCTGGAAAGCAGTGGGAGCCATTTTATCCACTGCCTGGTGCAGTGGTGGAGCCAGGGGGTGGACAATGGTGGCCTTGGCACAACAGA